TAGCAAGTATTCCGGGGGCTCCCCAAGGACATCACGTGATTTTTCACGCGAAAGGGCCCCCCCCTGCCCCCTCCCCCATATATATCATTGTTATATATCATATATCATATATCATTGTTGCATCCTCGTTGGGACGAACAATGCCGCGACACGATGATGACAGTCCCTCCGCAACTCACCTCTTCCCTTCCTTCTTTCTCCTACCCCCCTAGCTTTCGTCATCCACCCCCGGCCTCAAGTGGTTTTAGCAGTTGGATATCCCCTGGTTCCATTTAAAAGAACGAGATACTGGTTTCGATGCAATTTCGACTGCGAGGCCATCGGGTCCTTTGAATCAAACCTACTGAATTGCCTCACACCCTTTGGTCACGAAACGAAGAGATTGGCAATTCTCGGCCACTCAGACTGAATTAGAGTCAGGCAATGTCAGGCAATGAACTGAATTCATATTTGGCAGACATTGGTAGACTATCCAGAGGAGGCCAAGGAAGACTTGGGAAGACTGGAGCCAGTTGGATGCCTCCATTGCGACTTTTAGTTGTCTTGAACCATGGCATGCGCCGCATGGCCCTTGGCGGTGCAGCCAAGGCATTCCTTTAGGCGTAAACACCATCCTAATAGGAGGATTCTTCATCATGGGTCCACCGCTCCAGGCCAGGTCGCTGCAAACTCCAGTTTTTGTCTATCAATAGCAACTGTTTTTGAGATTTTTGAAACGCCACTGCTTTCTGCCACTTTTCGCCACCTTGGTCATCTCGCAGGTCTCAGTGACCACGGTCTTCGCAGGCGTCGCAGCTCTGAATCTGATTGGAATGTCGGAGTCTGAGAGTCACCAGTGCTGGACCAAAGCTGGGGCTTCCAACGAGGCACTGTGCAGCCTTGTACTAAGACCCAAAGGTAGTCTAAGAAAATCTAAGATATCGATGGACTAAGGATCGTGTTTGCTGTGTGGATTCCACCAAGAGGTGAAGCAGGTTCCGTTTTGCTGTTGCTTTCACTTTGAAAAGTGATGCTCAGATTCAAACATTTTCTACCTTCACCACTTTGTTTCGGTTTAGCATATGCATCGCTCGTTGATGGATCCGGGTTTGCGCATCCGCCAGTGAAAGCTGGTGGAGTGAACGAGCTAGTTGCTGACTGCAAAGGATGCAGGTGCTGGTTGCGCTGGTTGTAGGGCGGGGCTATTGGTGGAGCTGCTGTGAAGAACGGTCACGGACGGTCACAGTTTGACACAGGCACTGGCTCCCACTTCTTTGGCACTATCCACTGGCTTTCGCCGTCAGGATCTTATTCCGAAACCAAGCGGAACAAACAGTGACCAATAAAGACAAATGATGAAACAACAAATACGAATATATATATATAATTAAGCTATTTTAAGCAATGTAACATGTGTAGTATGTATACATATATAATATTATATTGTATTATAGAATGGGCTAGCGCCCAGGTGCCGCCGACCCCCCTCTATTTGGGGGGCACTGTGGGGGGAGAGAGAGAGAGAGAGAGAGAGACAGAGAGGGAGAGGGAGAGGGAGAGGGAGAGGGAGAGATGGATGGATGGATGGATGGATGGATGGATGGATAGATAGATATATAGATAGAGGGAGAGAGAGATAGATCGATGGATAGATAGAGGGATAGAGAGAGAGAGAGATAGATCGATGGATAGATAGAGGGATAGAGAGAGAGAGATAGATTGATAGATAGGTAGATAGACAGTTAGATAAACAGGTGGATAGATCGATTGTTGGACAGATGGATAGATAGATTCATGGGGATTCAATAAGCCTTTGGATGGCCCTGCTGGGGACGGTGTTTGGAGGGTTTGGAAGGTTTTGGAGGGTTTGGAGGGTTTTCGCAGTTTGGAGCGTTTGCAGGCGGGCAAACGGCAGCTTTGAAAGCCCATAGAAAGCCATTGCTGTGGCCTTGGCCCTGGGGTGCCTGGTTGAGAAGTGGCCTTGGCCCTGGGGTGGAGCGTTTGGAGGGTTTTGGAGCGTTTGGAGTGTTTGCGGGCTGGCAAACGGCAGCTTTGAAAGCCAATAGAAAGCCATTGCTGTGGCCTTGGCCCTGGGGTGCCTGGTTGAGAAGTGGCCTTGGCCCTGGGGTGCCTGTTGAAGAAGGTGTTTGGAGGGTTTGGAGGGTTTTGGAGGGTTTGGAAGGTTTTGGCTTGGAAGGTTTGGAGGGTTTTGGAGGGTGTTTGGAGGGTTTGGAAGGTTTTGGAGGGTTTGGAGGGTTTTGGAGGGTGTTTGGAAGGTTTGGAGGATTTTGGAGCGTTTGGAGGGTTTTGGAGCGTTTGGAGTGTTTGCGGGCTGGCAAACGGCAGCTTTGAAAGTCAATAGAAAGCCATTGCTGTGGCCTTGGCCCTGGGGTGCCTGATTGAGAAGTGGCCTTGGCCCTGGGTGCCTGTTGGGGTTGAAAGCCAATAGAAAGCCATTGCTGTGGCCTTGGCCCTGGGGTGCCTGATTGAGAAGTGGCCTTGGCCCTGGGGTGCCTGTTGGGGAAGGTGTTTGGAGGGTTTGGAGAGTTTTGGAGGGTTTGGAGGGTTTTGAAGGGGGTTGAGGGTTTGGAAGGTTTTGGAGGGTTTGGAGGGTTTTGGATGGTGTTTGGAGGGTTTGGAGGATTTTTGAACTTTTGGAGGGTTTGGAGTGTTTGCGGGCTGGCAAACGGCTGGCCTTGGCCCTGGGGTGCCTGTTGGGGAAGGTGTTTGGAGGGTTTGGAGGGTTTTGGAGGGTTTGGAGGGTTTTGAAGGGGGTTGAGGGTTTGGAAGGTTTTGGAGGGTTTGGAGGGTTTGGAGGGTTTTGGGGGGTGTTTGGAGGGTTTGGAGGATTTTGGAGCGTTTGGAAGGTTTTGGAGGGTTTGGAGTGTTTGCGGGCTGGCAAACGGCAGCTTTGAAAGCCCATAGAAAGCCATTGCTGTGGCCTTGGCCCTGGGGTGCCTGTTCGGGAAGTGGCCTTGGCCCTGGGGTGCCTGCTGGGGACGGTGTTTGGAGGGTTTGGAAGGTTTTGGAGGGTTTGGAGGGTTTGGAAGGTTTTGGCAGTTTGGAGCGTTTGCAGGCAGGCAAACGGCAGCTTTGAAAGCCTATAGAAAGCCATTGCTGTGGCCTTGGCCCTGGGGTGCCTGTTGGGGAAGTGGCCTTGGCCCTGGGGTGCCTGCTGGACAAGGTGTTTGGAGGGTTTGGACGGTTTTGGAGAGCGCCCGGAGGGTTTGGAGGGTTTTGGAGAGTTTGGAGGGTTTGGAGGGTTTTGGAGGGTGTTTGGAGTGTTTGGAAGGTTTTGGAGCGTTTGGAGGGTTTTGGAGCGTTTGGAGTGTTTGCGGGCTGGCAAACGGCAGCTTTGAAAGCCAATAGAAAGCAATTGCTGTGGCCTTGGCCCTGGTGCCTGATTGAGAAGTGGCCTTGGCCCTGGGGTGCCTGTTGGGGAAGGTGTTTGGAGGGTTTGGAGGGTTTTGGAGGGTTTGGAGGGTTTTGAAGGGGGTTGAGGGTTTGGAAGGTTTTGGAGGGTTTGGAGGGTGTTTGGAGGGTTTGGAAGGCTTTGGAGGGTTTGGGGGGTTTGGAGGGTTTTGGAGGGTGTTTGGAGGGTTTGGAGTGTTTGCGGGCTGGCAAACGGCAGCTTTGAAAGCCCATAGAAAGCCATTGCTGTGGCCTTGGCCCTGGGGTGCTTGTTCGGGAAGTGGCCTTGGCCCTGGGGTGCCTGCTGGGGACGGTGTTTGGAGGGTTTGGAAGGTTTTGGAGGGTTTGGAGGGTTTGGAAAGTTTTGGCAGTTTGGAGATTTTGCAGGCGGGCAAACGGCAGCTTTGAAAGCCCATAGAAAGCCATTGCTGTGGCCTTGGCCCTGGGGTGCCTGTTGGGGAAGTGGCCTTGGCCCTGGGGTGCCTGCTGGACAAGGTGTTTGGAGGGTTTGGACGGTTTTGGAGAGCGCCCGGAGGGTTTGGAGGGTTTTGGAGGGTTTGGAGGGTTTGGAGGGTTTTGGAGGGTGTTTGGAGTGTTTGGAAGGGTTTTGGAGCGTTTGGAGTGTTTGCGGGCTTGCATGTTGGGGAAGGTGTTTGGAGGGTTTGGAGGGTTTTGGAGGGTTTGGAGGGTTTTGAAGGGGGTTGAGGGTTTGGAAGGTTTTGGAAGGTTTGGAGGGTTTGGAGGGTTTTGGAGGGTCTGGAGGATTTTGGAGCGTTTGGAGGGTTTTGGAGGGTTTGGAGTGTTTGCCCGGACTCGCAACGAGCGTCCGGGTATGATGATGATGATGATGATGATGAGGATGATGATGATGAGGATGATGATGATCACCGATATGCTCCACATAAACAGGATTTAATTAACCCCTATTGAGGATCTTGATTGAATGTAGAAGTTAAACGAGGGTGGGAGAATTACGCCCTTATTGAAGATCTTCAATGAATGTAAAAGTTCAACAGGGCTGGGGGAATTAAACCCTTTGTAAAGATCTTTAATGAGTATAGAAGTTTAACGAGGATGGGAGAGTTAAACTCTTATTGAACCTTTATTGAAGATCTTGAACGAGTGTAAAAGTTACACGGGGGTGGGAGAATTAAACCCTTATTGAACCTTTATTGAAGATCTTGAATGAGTGTAAAAGTTACACGGGGGTGGGAGAATTAAACCCTTATTGAACCTTTATTGAAGATCTTGAACGAGTGTAAAAGTTACACGGAGTGGGAGAATTAAACCCCTTTTGAAGATCTTCAATGAATGTAGAAGTTTAACGGGGATGGGAGAATTAAACCCTTATTGAAGATCTTCAATGAATGTAGAAGTTTAACGGGGGTGGGAAATTCATATGATATGTAAAATTAGTGTGAACAAAAAATCCGTGTAATATACGCTATTCTGGGCTTGTGCAAACCTCGGGGTCTGTGTGTAATATTATATTATATTATGCGATATTATATTATACTATAATATATTATTTTGTATTGTATCATAATTACATTCATGTAGGTGGGACATGTGATGCCTGAGCTTGGTTGAGGTGAATCCCCCCGGTGCCAATTTTGGCTCAAGGGTGGGGCTTCAATCGGACCACAGGTGGGACTAGTCTTGCATGGAACTGGTGGTCACCCAACCTGAGGGGGTAGTGGAGGAGCCGACCAAGCTCCCTTCCCTACTTATCCTCTCGTGGGTGGTCATCGGTTCCGCGGGGTTCCTACTTGGGTGGTTCAGTTCTAGAGCCTTCACCCGAGTGACCTCTTGGTGGCGAGCCCTCTACCAGCCCGGCAACTGGGAGAGGCTGGTGCACAAGGCGATCTATTTCGTGGGGCGCCGGAGGAGGATCTCGTTGGCCTTCGGTGCCTACAGGCAATCCACCTTGAGGAATACACCGGCAGCTAAGCCGAACATTGCCCGGAGAGCTCTACGTGCCCGGGCCGCTACACCCAGGCCGCCCCAGGCCGCTGGATCGCCACTGATCCTCAACGAGGGTCCGGCCATTGTCAGGCGGCATGGATCCGACGGACGCTGAGCTGGAACAAATAGCGTCAGTACAAGACGCCCTTGATTGGGCTGGAGTCGCTGGCGACCTTCAGCAGCAACTTTTGGATGCAATGGGAGGAGTGCAACGCGTACGTGAAGTGCCGCTCATCCACCGACAGGCTTGGGACGAGGCAGTGGCGAGGCTGGTGGTCCCGGAAGCTATAGACCCAGCCATTGGAGGGCCACCCAATGTCAGGCCTCTCAACCCGGTCGAGGGTGCCAGAGTCGAATCCTTCAGGAGGGTGTGTCACCTGAGGATTGGCCGTACCCCGGATGAGAGAGGGGGTGGGCCAGTGCCCCTACCCATGCCTCTTGGCGCTCCATTTCCTCCAGCGGGTGGCAACGCCCATCCAGGGGGAGGAGCCCAAGCTGGCAACCCTCCAATGACCAGGAAGCTCAAGCTTTCAGCGGCCCTGGACCCCACACTAGACGCGGGCATACAGCCGTTGTCCACAGTTGAGCAGGCCCAGATGTATCAGTCCTACAAGGACAAGTTCGGCGACTACCCCAACGCTGACTGTGATCCTAGCGGTGATCAAGTGGCTGCACTTCGTCAAGTACTTGCTGCTGGAGCAGTTCCGTTTACGTGCTTCACGGTCTTCGGACCACACGGACAACGGATGCTCCGTAAACAGACGTTCACGGGGTACCAGCTCAATGTGGCCACTGGAGAGTGGAGCAAACGTGAGCTCCCGGGTCCCAGCTCGTACCATGCCTGGTACCAATGCTGGCGGGTCTTCAGGACGGCCATGCTCCTGCTCGGGGCGTGTGATGCAGAGAGGTTGGACTCCTATGCAGAAACCATCCGGGGCTTCGTCACACAGTTTGGAGACGAGACGTGGTTCCTCATCTCGAAGGCCGACTCCCAGATGCGGTCAGAGCACCTGGAGCGCATACGGCGCCAATTGAGAAGCACCCCGGCCATGGGGTTCACAGAGGCGTCACCCTGGTCAGCATGCTTCGGAATGGCGTGCAAAGACCACGAATATTGGGCCCGTGAGCTGCACACCCCAGCGACGCTCTTCTTGGCGCGCCACAAGCGGGAACCCGTACAGGGCCAGACGGAGGGTCCAACTGGGTCACCTACGAAAAGGACAAAGACGACCAAGGCAGCTCGCAGAGGATACACGGGCATGGACCACTCCAAGAAGGACGACACGGGGATCTACACCATCAACCGGAGGGGTGTCGAGATCTGCAAGAACTACAACCAGAACAAGTGCGGCTCAACGGCAGCACAGGGGAAGTGCAAAGCGAAGAGGGCACATCAGTGCAACCTGTGCCTCGGGCCCCATCAAGCCGTGGGATGCCCGGGCAAAACTGCTTCCAACTGACCCCGAAAGGGCAGCAGGGCATCCGGTGCCGCCCCTGCGCAAGCCCCGACACAAGAGGCACCACGACAGAGTGAAGCAGCAGGAAAGGGAGCCAAAAGGCCGAAGTCACCAACACTTCCGCCGACTCAGGAACAGCTCCTGGCTATCCAGAAGCACAGAAGACCATCGCCAGCTGACCCACAAGACGCTCCAAAGAAGGCCGAGCAGGGGGATGCGGAACCTCAGCAACCTCACAAGCGGCAAAGAGTTGAAGAGGAGAGCAACAAGCAGTCTCTACCAGCCTCGACGCCGACGATGGGAATCAGGCAGGACCCATGCCCGCCTCGGCAGTATGGCTACTGGATGCATGGCCCTGGAGATGCCCGGCTCAAGCCTTGGGCGCTCATCCTTTTCTCCGGCCGCAGCAGGGAGGGCGATCTACAACATGCCCTGTGCAATCTGGGATGGAGGGTGTGCGCAATAGATGTGGTGGCACCTCGCCCTACCAACATCTTGTGTGAAGCCACCTGGGAATCCGTCCGGACAGACCTGGTGTCGGGCAAGTTCGATGCCCTTATGATAGCCACGCCATGCGAGACGTTCTCACCGCTGCGGGAGAAGCAACCTGGCCCCAGAGTTCTGAGGACTCTGGAGCACATCCAAGGGCTTCCCAAAGCGGGTCTCACGCTGGCTGAACAGAAACAGGTGAAAGAAGCCAACGTCTTAGTCAGCAGGTCGGCATCTGCAGCTTCGGCGCAATCCGTGAACGACAAGCCCTGGTGCCTGGAAAATCCAGATCATGGCGACGACCGGCCCAGCCTATGGGTGATGCCAGCGATCAAGAGACTCCTCGAGGATAAGGCCGACTCCAACACCTACTTTGATCAATGCAAAACTGGGTTGGCCACGAGGAAGCCGACAAGGTTGGCATCGAGGGGAATCGACCTGGCAAAGCTCAGGGACCTTAGGTGTGACCACTCTCCGCAACAACAAACGCGGGGAGACGGCTCGGTGTACCAGGCACCGCACCCGTCCACGGTCCAGCAATGGGTGGTCAACAGCCAAGGACGAAGAGAGCGGGCATCCAAAGCCCAGGGAGAGTACACTGCAGAGCTCTCCAACATCCTGGCCCAGGCGTTTCATGCCACGCAAACAGGGGCCACCTGGCTGAGGGAGGAGTTGGCAACAACTCCAATTCCCTGACGTGACCCCGTGGTGCAATTCGCTCTGATGGACACTGGCCTCACCATCAGAGAGAAGGAAAACATGGAGGCCATTGGAGGGATGAGAAACCCCCAGATTTCCCGAGACAGGATACTGGGAGCCAGAGAGAGAGAGGGCAACCCATCCGACAGCTTCTGAGGAAGGCACAGGAGCTATGGCCTGCGCTGAGAGAACCGGCGGCAGCCATTCTTGACGGAGGCACGCCCAAAGACTACGACACTGTGTTGGTGGACAAGCTCAGAGACATCATCCTGAACACCCTCTGGAACGTGAAGCCCAGAGGACCGAGGTCTGCGAGGGCATCAACACCTATCAGGGCAGACGTGGTAGCGGGATGGAAGGCCGACCCGGACTCTGCTCTCCTGGCATCTTGGCTGGACCACGGCGCACCCATGGGATTCCAGCAACAGGTGGTGTCCACTGGCATCTTCCCGGAGGTTACCAAGCAGATGGGTGAGGTGGAAGCCGAACACATGGGCATAGAATCCCTGGAAGGCTGGACGAACTACGCGTCGGCAGAGCAGGAGAACAACGAGCTGCAACTACTCATTGACGACTACGTCAATCGGGGATTCTGCCACTTGTCACCCTCCATCAAGCATGCCGAAGAGGAACTGGGCAGGCAACCCATCATCAACAAGCTGGGTGTGTTGGTAAAGGAAAAGGTCGACGCTGGCAAGACCACAAAGAAGGCGAGGATCATCTGGGACCTCAAGAGGTCCGGAGCGAACCAGTCATGCCACCAAGGCGAGCGGGTGCTCCTGCCACGCCTGCTAGACTTGGTTGCAGGGATTCTGGAAGGCTACCGCCGAGACCCAAGAGGTTGGATTGCAGCAGTTGACATCAGGGACGCTTTCATGAACATACCGGTCATGGAAGACCGATATGCGCTGGTGGCGGCCAAGCCCAAGAAGAAGGCCGACGATGACATGGAGCTGGTAATCTTCGACGCCTTGGTGTTTGGGGCGGCCAGCTCTCCGACAGTATGGGGGAGATTTGCGGCATTCCTCGCAAGAACCATCGTCGCGGTGGAGCCGGAAGTCACCTGCCAACTCTACGTGGACGACCCGGCAATAGCAATGTCTGGGTCGAGAGAGGACGCCATCACTCAGCTGACGTCAGTTCTCCTGTGGGTCAACATTTTGGGCTACCCCATCAAGATGTCCAAATCGACAGGAGGAAAATCAGTCAACTGGATTGGGGCGGTCGTGACGCTCCTGGACGAAGAAGCGGCGGTGGAAGTTACCATAGCCCAGCACAAGGTGGACAAGCTGGTGGAAGTCACGGACAAGTTTCTAGCCAGGCCGGTTGTTGGTGTGAAAGAGCTGAGGTCCTATGTGGGCGCCTTGTCCTTCATCGCGGGGCTCATTCCACACCTGAGGCCTTTCCTTTCTTCGCTGTGGGCGGTCTTGCCCTTCGGCCGTAGTATGGCTGATGACGGAGCCCCGACAAAGGGCATTTCCGGAAGGCTGGTACACGTCCGAAGGATAAGACCAGCCTTGGGTTGGATCAGGGCCTTGCTGATGGGTAAAGGAGCCCCGCTGCGAAGACAGCTGAAGGCATTCCTACCCGAAATTCAAATCAACATCACTACAGACGCTTGCCCATTTGGCATCGGGGGCACGCTTCGGGTGTCGGGAGAGCTCGTAGAAGCGTTCTCCGCGGACCTACCTGAGTTTGAGCTCCTGAAGTTTAAAGCCAGACGCGGCGAGTCCAAATTCACCACGCTGTGGGAGGCGTTGGCCTTGCTTGTGGCCTGTCGCCTGTGGCTACCCAGGTTTGAAGGGAAAGCCAGAGTTCATTGTAAGAGCGACAGTTTAGCGCTGCTGCTCTCACTAGTGAAGGGACGGGCAAAGGCACCAGACCTAGCCGTCGTCTCCCGCGAGTTTTCCATCGATATGGCCAGGGACAAGTACAGGCTGCACCTCTTGACACACATACCAGGCATCACCAACATTGAAGCAGATGCCCTGTCAAGGGTGTACGCACCAAACCCTCCGGTTTTACCAAAGTCTTTGGAGGGAGTCCCAAGGGCCGAAGTCCGCCTAGGACCAGACTTCTGGATCGTCGACGCGTAGTCGGTGCAAAACAGGGCGCAACGCTGCGAGTGGGCAGGGGGCAGTTTACCAGCATCCCCGTTCACAGCAGGGCATGCAACCTGTCTCAGTTGGGCACACGTCAGCGCCATGAGAGGCTCAAAGAGGACGGCTCCTCCGGACCTCCCGGTGCTGGGCGCCCATGATAGGAAGAAGGGACCATTCCAGCCACTGCGGGAGGGATTTGCCATTCCCACACGGGACGCCCAACCTTCCGCCAAGGTGGAGGAGCGTCCTTCGTCGGGAGGCGGTCCCAAACCGTACGGCCGGGGTTCCGCCGAGACTGCGCTAGCGTGCATAACGGACCCTCGGTCCTGCAGCAGTGCGCTCAGGGCAGACATTAGCGCTGCAACCACCAAGGGGCCCACGGCCTCCAGAAAGCAACTCTGGGCAGCCTTGGCTACAAAAGCCGGCTACGAGGACCCATTCTACCTTGAGCCGGACCGCATCTTCGAGGTGATGGGTGCCCTCAAACTTGCTGGGTTCCGTTCTGCGCAGCTGTACCTGGACACGGCCAAGTCCCAGCACATCGCGGCCGGGTACGGCTGGACATCCCAGCTGCAGCAGGCCTACAGAGCCGCAGTGCGTAGCTGCAATCGTAACCTGGGTAACCCTAAGCAAGCTGCTCCGTTACCCCTGGCAGAGTTAGCAAGCCTACAGGGTGAAGAGCCACTTGCCCGCTCTGGACCCAAGTGGCCCGCGCGCTCAGCTCTGTTGGCATCCTGGTGGCTCCTCCGGGAGATTGAGGCGTCGAACTCCATCCGGGGCCACATCACGGTTCACGAGGAGGACAAGAAGATCGACTGGCGCCTTCCCAACTCCAAAACCGATTGGAGAGCGTTGGGAGCCACCCGGAGCCACACCTGCTCTTGTGAGCTCGCTCCGGTTGCACAGTGTCCCTACCACAACATGGTGGACCATTTGGCCAGGCTGGGCAAGGACCCGTCCACACCGATTTTCCCAGCCGCCGATGGAAATCCCGCGTCTAAAACCGGGTGGGCTGACACATTTGAGGAGCTGGGCAAGATCCTCAAGCTGCCATGCACCTACCCCAATGGGGCCAGATGCTTCACAGGGCACACAGCTCGAGCATCTGGAGCAGTACACCTGGCAGCAAGTCAGGTAGAACTTTGGAGAATCCAGCTGTTTGGGCGCTGGGGCAGCCAAGTCTTCCTGCAGTACATCAGAGATGCACCTCTGAAACAGCTGGACAAGTTAGCATTGGAGACATCGGTTCACTTGTCGCTGTCTACGGCAAAGGCTCAGCTCCAGGACTTGATGCGCAGGGCACAAACGGGGTTGGCAACAACGCTGGCATGCCCGACCCCGGACATGCTAGGGGACTGCGAAGCATCAATTGGGGACTTGGAGCCTCCCAAGATCACGGACCCCATCGTCATCAACCTCAACGGAGGAAAGACCCATCGGTCATTAGTGTACGGAGATGATTTTCATCCCAAAGAATGGAGAACACGGTGTGCTTGGCGATTCGGCGGGCCACACACCAATTTTGAAATCTCCAGCGATCTCCCTGACCCGAAGGTCGCTTGCAGGAAGTGTTTCCCGGAGCTGAAGAGCCAAGCAGCGTCATCTTCATCGGGGTCCTCCTCTTCTTCTTCGAAGTCAGATAGCAATTCATCTTAGACCCGCTCAGCTACACTAAGCAAGCAGGATAATTCTTGGGCCGTAAGTGGAAGTTGGCAACAGGCACAGTTTGATCTACCTGTCTTGGGTGCAGATCCGAAAAGGAGATGTAACAGACAGGTCAGATGCCAACCAAACTTTTGGCCAATTGTGTAAAATAACCCTGCTTGGTGGGTGGAGGGGTCTGCGTAGGCATAGCTTGTCTCATAATTACATTCATGTAGGTGGGACATGTGATGCCTGAGCTTGGTTGAGGTGAATCCCCCCGGTGCCAATTTTGGCTCAAGGGTGGGGCTTCAATCGCCCGCCCGACCACGCCCTGAAAATGGGGTAAGGGCACAGTTTGATCTACCTGTCTTGGGTGCAGATCCGAAAAGGAGATGTAACAGACAGGTCAGATGCCAACCAAACTTTTGGCCAATTGTGTAAAATAACCCTGCTTGGTGGGTGGAGGGGTCTGCGTAGGCATAGCTTGTCTTATATTATATTATATTATATTGTATTGTATTGTATTGTATTATATTGCATTATATTATATTATATTATATTATATTTATATATATATATATTTTATATATTTTAGATATTATATTTTTTGATATCAAATGTATTAATATATATATATAATGTAATGTTTGATTTCTCTTTTTGCCAAGCATTCTTGATCAGCTCCTTTTTTTGCCTGGCAGACTTGCAAAAGGTGGACACCTTCACCTTGGCGGGCTTCTCACCTGGCCTTTCTCTTTACGTCTACGACAAGGAGGTCGTGGAAGTCACGGAGAGTGTCGTGCTGGAAACCAAAACGCAGCGAGCTGAGAGCTTGGCTCCGAACATGGGACATGACGACATACCCTCTGGTAAACGTTTACATAACTATGGAAAGATCCACCATTTTTCATGGGAAAAATCACTATAAATGGCAATTTTCAATAGCTATGTTAAATTACCAGAGGGTACACGACTGATCCTTTGCCAAGGTTCTTTGCCTTCTACAACACCGCCAATATGCTTGGAGGCCACCGATCTCGTACTACTACCTGCTGATTTTCATTGATCTTCTTTCCACAACACGTGCAAGGAGTGATGTAAACTATGTAAACTTGTGCACGGAGCCGCAAGCAGTTCTTGGAGTGTCGCAAGTTGCGTATGTTGCAGTTACGATCGAGAGGTCTTTGTGGAAGATGGCTGAGCTACCGGCTCCAACAGCGCCACCCTGCTGCTTACGTTTGTCAGACCCTCAAGAAAACGAGAACTTTTGTGCCGTGGAAAGGGGAGTCCTTAATTTTAGTGCTTCACGGCAATGATGGTCTTTCAGCATTTTCAGGTGTGTTGGTGCAGAAAAGAATAGAAATGATAAACATTGATAAACATATGAAAACCATCATGAAAACATATGAAAAGCCTCAGGTTTCAGCTTGCTGGGTGCGTTGTTGTTGGTGCTGCGGGAACCTGCCCGCTTCTCAGCCCACACACAACCCGCACGCTTTTTCGACTCAGCGGCGCGGACAGCTGACAGCGGCGTTTGGCGCTGACGGCTCAGGTCCTGGCGCCTGCCGGTGCTTTCTTGGTTCCTCAGCTGGAAATAGCTGGAAGTTTCGTGCCATTTCATGATATTTCATGATATACTGTCAATGGAATTCATAACAATGCAGGATGAGGAAGTGAATCTTACTCCCAATTTCAGGTGATGCTTGGTGATGGCTTGATATACGGGACAATTAGCCACAGCCTTAGCTTCCTCCAAGCCGACCTTAGCCGACCTGTAAGGGGTTTGGAGTGCACTGTTTTTTCTGCAAAGTTAGATGCAGAATTGATCTTAAGGTCGCCACGTCGACAGCGTGATCCCGCAGGCGACAGACCAATAAAATTGCCGTTTCGTTTCGTTTCGTTTTGTCGTTTTGGTTTGCTGAGCTGCAAGGAGTTCAACCTCATTGCGATTTCTTATTGGCTTTTTATTGGGGACGTCGGAAGTCTGATCGGGCTGGGAGCCTAAGTTGTTACGGATTGGACAATAGCGGCTCGTCTTGCAGTGCCCAGGTCGAGCCTGATCAGCTATCTCCGCGACTGGCTAGTGACGTGACAAGTTTCGAAATTTGGTGCCTGCTGATTGCCTTGACACTCTGCTTTGATGCGTCTCTCACAGCTCGCCACATCTCAAACTCACAGGAATCTGTATTGCCAGATTTTGTTGTCATGGCAATCGGTGTAATTCAATAGTTGCTTGTGACTTTGTGTCACATATGGAGTTTGCGAAGAGGTTTGGATGATAGTCTGCAGTTCTGTGATGCTAGAATCATTTTGGCTTGTTTCATCTCTCGTAATTGTGCTGGTTTCAAGCCCTCAATGTTTCTGTTTCAGGCTGGGGAAGATGCCTGCAGTCACATGAACCTGTAGCTTGACAGGTCATGAACAGGTAGCGGTAGAGGTTCACCAACTGGTGACTTTCATTTCCAGGGAAGAGGAAAAAGATGCCCCGAGAACGAGGGCGAAAGCTGCCCGAAAAACATAATAGTTGCTGCGAAGAGGTTCAGTGGTGGCATCCCACAAATTGTCACCGCTTACTTACCCTTTCCAGCTTTTCCTGGTTCAGAAACTTTGCAAGAAGCCCAAAAAACATGCATTTCAAAAAACCATGCTTGTTCGCCTGTGTTTGCCCTCTCGTACTAAAGAAAGACATGGCAAAATCTTTAATTTCACGGCGTTGACAGCACAGGTGAAACACGTTCAGACCTTCAAGAGGTAAACAACAAGTCCGTTGTTGTCACTCAGCCTGTGCACCAAAGTCATAAGCCATGGGAAAGAAGAGGCCAGCTGAACGTGCGGTGTGTAGGAAGACCTTCATGAATCTTCATGACCTTCGTCAGTGTGGTAGTGACCTGGTAGATCCGGTAGTGGTTTTAAGATGTTGTAAGATGTCAGGAAGTCAAAGCTTGAGACCGATGGCCACATTTTGACTTTCGATCCTGCGAGTCGGCCAGGGCCCCAGCTGCCAAGAAGTGCCAGAGAACTTGAGCAAATGACACACAAATGACACACAAATGACACAAATGACACAAATGACATAGTGAGGCATGCCTTCGTGACTGGTTTCAAGAGAAGGAAGCAGGAAAGCGTTGAAAGCATCCTCACCAATTTGCTCGCGCTTTTACATTTTGGTGAATATTTCCCTGCCATTGAAGGAGAGAAGAAAGTGGGCAGTCCGCGAGATTCTGGAAAAGGAACGTCAGGACCAAAGAGTAGTTTGTCCATTTTTGTTCCCTTTTCTCCGCTTCTTATTTGCCTTTTTATCTGGCCTTGTTGTTATGGCACTCTCCTGCAGTTCCAGTGGCATGTCAATCAGGATCGGATTGAAGCCAAGAAAGACTATCGACAGGACGTAAAGAAAAGATGGAAGGACGCCTTGTCTTGGCATCAATTTTGACAATCCCAAGCGGCCCAAGCGCCTTTCCCATGGTAACTCTTTTCATTTTTGGTTGCTCCTCCTCCAAGTGGGAAGGTTTCAATGGGGGATACGATGGGCCAGTGGTGTCGCCCCTCACCTGTTTCCTGCCGTCCTTTGGCCAGTTGCATGGGAGGGGATGTAACATGCAATGAGCGAGCTTGTTGACACGTTGTTGTGAATCGTATGAACCATGTATGAACCATGTATGAACCATTTATGAACCAGCCTAGAACAGCCGACCCGAGGCAAAATAGTTATACTTGCTTGAGAACTATCGGAAAGCTGCATGCTATATACTTGCTGTTACCAGCCCCTGTATTGAGGTCAAAAATGTGATCTGATTTTTTTCTAGGCTAGCCAAACTTAAAGTTTAGGAGAGGCAAGGAAGTTGCAGCCAAGGAAAACTCAGACTAGACTACATTAGACTACCACATCATTCATCGATCTGAGGTAGCCTGGTCAATTCATCCGTGAAGACGCTGATGATTTTTGATTTACAGATTCTACAGGACCTGCAGCGAGCAGAGAAGAGGGTCGAAGCATTGCTGGGCCCAGCCGAGGAGGTGCTCCGCACGCTCCGCATGGAGTCTCCAAAAAAACAACGCATAGAAGAGACATGAAGAGACATGAAGAAACAACATGACACGAATGTGTCAAGAACATTCAAGAACATTCAAGAACTGCGTTTGCTTTTGAAAAGGGCTGTGGGGATGTCCTCTAACATCTTCCAGAATACTCTTCGATTGATCAGCATATTCGCGCGCTCATGGTTAGTTTGTCGACATGTCTTCTTTGATAGGTGCAATGGTTGGGCGACTTGAAGACTGAGAAGCTACAAGATGAGGCAAAATGCACAAAAGATACACGAAAGATGCATGAAAACAACTACCTCAGTAGCATTTCTGCTTGTGGATTAGCTGATCTTGGAGAATTTTTTTTCGGACACGTCAGGTGCCCGTGACCGTGGCGTTTACGGCTGAGGACTGGTGAAAACTTGGGCATTTTAGACCGCTTTGCGCAGTTTCCCAGGACGACGATCCTTTCGGGGATTGTGAGGTGACAACGACTGTCGGAGGAGTACCTCGGTGTACCAAAGTGTTTCGACTGTCTCGGACTCTCGAAATCTAAATCCAATGGATTTGGACTAAATCGGGGTGGGTCAAAACCTATTATTATCAATTCTAATGGGATGAACATCCATTTACCAGCTATTTTGGGGTTCACTAGGTGCTAGGGTTTTGACCAATAGCCAAATAGGCTAGATAGGCGGAAGGAGAAAAAAACAAAAAACCATGGCTTCACAGCACAGTTGAGGTCTCAGATGGTGCCGGTGGGCCGTTGCCTGAGATCAAAACTTTAGCCGAACTTCGCTGCCTCCGAGCCTCTGACATTTTCTGAGGCATTTGCCTCTGGCCCTCATTGGCAAAAGTGGCAATGTGCTTTCCCTGCTGGGAGGTTCAGCTTGCACTTTCACATCTTTAGCTGATTTAGCAGAATCCTACTGACAGTTACTGAGTCCTATTTTGCCAGACCTGTCTCCCAAGATGACCGTTTCAAAGCCTTCGATGCCGATTTCTACGATTTCGATCTGGCATGCCTTGCAGTTGGCCACAGGCGAGGCAGGACGCTTAAGAGATCTCACCGGAATCGAGGCAGGGCAGCTTGGCAGCTTGGCAGCTTGGCAGCTTGGCAGCTTGGCAGTGGCTGCAAATCTGCACACTCTGCCACCGATCGCAGAGGAAGAAGACCCGGAGGAAAGGGTCAAAAGGCGCTCCTGCAATCTGCTGCCAGTCTGTAGGGACTGGAACTAACAGCAACTACTTAACTGCAACTGCTGTTTTTGGCTGCAGTGGTGTCTGTGATGTCAGGTGTGAGGTGTGTCAAGTTGCGCACTGCCACGCTTGCCACGCCAGGCGGCAAGCATCTGCCAGAAAGGAGGAAGATCGTCGGCAGGTTGCGCTGGACAAGGCAGTGACGAAGCTTGGTGGAAAAGACTCTGGGAGACGAGAAACATCGAGAAACGCTACAGACACAGGAAGGTTTGCAGAGACACAAGACACCTCCAAGCATGGGAAACGGATGCATAGCTAAACAATAGTGTCAAGTGTTCTATCATGTTCTATTTTCTTTTTCCCCTTGCATTTGGTGGCATTTCTGCCAGCCCCCAGAACACAGATACACCAGGATCGATGTGTTCTTTTCAGTAACTTTGATGATGGTTTTTTGCGTCTGCTGTTTGGGTCCATATCCAAGCTTAGGAAGACTCTGACGGTCAAGAACAAAGGGCCAGCCAAAAAAAGCAAAAGAGCGAAGGCATGGGTTGAGAATGAGCCGACCAGGATGAGAGATTTCAGTCTTGATGTGTTTGTTGGCACGTTCACAGGGCTCCAAAGGAAAGAAAGGTCAGACACCTGACAGTGCTGCTGCACTCTGGCAGGAGCCACTATACTGTTGCACCATGTTGCACGACTCGGCACTACAACAAAAGAATAGGATGCCACCGCACCCAGGTCCAGTTGGAAGAAAAGAAAGAAGAAAACGCATGAAGAAAGCCAAGTGATGCCAAGCGAATGTAGTTTGGCATTGCTCAAGAATTGTCTCACTCGTCCCAAAAAAGCTTGCAGCTTGACTTGAGAGCGGTGCAGTTAAGTCACGTGCATTCCTTCAAGCAAATTGTTCCTCAGCTGCAGAGGAAGACACCAACGTGCTGTTTGTGTTGCCAATGGAGCTTCAAGGGAAGCCACGCTGGTTTCTCAAGGCTTTCAAAGTTAAGTTGCATGTTACATCAAGTTATATCACGTTATAACTTATACTTATATATAACCGTATTATCTTTCAATGTACTTACAATCTACACCAATCTGCAGAAATCCAATCTGCGGTATGTATAGAAGACTTTGATATAGCTGATATATTCAGGTTGTACGTCAGATAGTTTCTTTTTGTTTTGAAGATGATGAAGATGTTTGATGTGGTTTATCACAACGTTTATCACAACGTTTACCACAAGCCCAACAGCCTTTCAATGAGATTGTGCTAACTTCTAGCTGCCTTCTGTCTTGGTCCTGTGGCTCTAGAGATGATGCAGCAGGGCCTTTACCACAAACATATGCATATATATAATATATACATAATATATATATATATATAATATATATATATATAATACATATTTATATATACATATTTATATATACATACTTATATATACATACACGTATAATTATATATATGTATATTATACACACATGTATTAAGTATGTATATGCATATGCATATATTTCTGCACACACACACACATATGATGCATATGTATCATATGTATCTATATCTATATCTATCTATCTACACACACACACGCATATATATATATATATATTGTGAAATGTCAACATTTGATCAGTCATAACCATGCTTGACAGGGAAAACGTTCCCCATGCAGCTCCAACCAAGGGATGCACGATCCCATTTCATACACAAGAGAACAATGCAAATCCTCCCAAAGGTATTTGGCTCAGGGAGCCTTCAAAGGCGTTGCGGAGGGTGGGATCGATACCTTGGAAGCCATAGTGTTCTTGGTTTTGTGGCTACACGCCGTGGTTGGCGAAACATCGCATAGGCAGTGCGATTTGGTGAAAACAGCTGCGCGGCCGCAGCCTTGCAGGTGCATCTGATTGGTGCTTGGGATCAGGGAGCCTCTGTTACCAATTCACATTGGTAGCGGAGCTCTCTGCATCCTTAGCAGAGAGCATCCGGGACCTTGTAAGACTGGTGCAACAACTGTCATAGGGACACTGAGGGCATTGTCTGGACAGGTGAATTCATCATGTCAGAAGCTTCTGGAGGCGGTGAAACACAGGTGAATATATCGAATCAGCTGGCATCGTTGGTTCCCAATTTTGATCCCAGTAAGGATGATCTGCAAATGTATCAACAGAAGGTCGAGATGGTCCTGTCAGTGTGGCCCGAGGCGAAGATATCAGAACTGGTGACACGTCTGATTTTGAACACAACTGGATCGGCATTTGCAAAGTTACAGTTGCATCACAAGGAGTTGTGTACAAATGAGACAAAGTCAATTCACAAGCTGATTGAATATCTGGGTGGACACTGGGGCCAGACAGGCCTTGAACGTCGTTTTGCGGATGCTGAGAAAGCCTTGTACCAATGTAACCAACAATCTGATGAGAGCCATGACTCCTTTTTGGCTCGTGCAGATGTGTTGTGGTCGAAGCTGAAGTCTCAAAAGTTGCAGATTGATGACCTCCAAGCGTATATCACGCTTAGAGGTGCCAACCTTCCGAGCGAGGACAAGAAACGAATCATCCTGGACTCGGACAACACCCTTGAGGGCAAGCTCACGATCAACAGGGTCAGAGAAGCAGTGCGAATGTTAGGAACCTCTTTCTTTCAAGAAATAACAGGTCAAGCTCGAAAGAATCAGAAGACCAAGGTCTATGACTCCAACACCCTCATGATGGAGGATTTAGAACATCAGGGAGATCATGAAGATCCTGTCAATGCAGTTCACGCAGAGGACTGGCATGAAGATGAGGTGATCGAAGCACTGCTGGCCGAGGGGGATGATGACGCCATTTTTGTGGCAGATTTTGAGGCTGCAGCGAGCGAAGTTCTTCAAACAGATGGTGATCTTTCGACAGCCTATAGCACGTATGTCGAAGCCAGGCGCAAGCTCAATGAAAAAGTGAGGGCAAGGGGATTCTGGCCGTTGGGGAAAGGAAAGTCCAAGATGAACAAAGGCCGTGGTAAGGGCCGACCTCCATGGAGTAAGAAAACTCTCCAACAGAGAATCCTAGAGTCAAACTGCCGTTTGTGCGGAAAGAAAGGCCATTGGAAGTCAGAGTGCCCCACCCGAAACCAGGGGTCAGCCAGTGGATCTCATGCCGCAGCAGCGACATTGTCCGTTGCTTCATCCGCCGCGGAATCTGACCCAGCAATGCCTGCCGAGTTTCTTGAGCTTCCCAGGGTCAGTGAATCAGGTGTGAAGGACAGTTCGCCGGCAAAGCCATGTTTTGTACAGACGTTTTTTTCAGTTGATTGTTTTAATGAGCCACAACAAAAGAATAACCATACTGCAAAGAACATGAGGGCTATCAGGGAGAGGATTAGGTGTCGTATTGAGGGCAATAGTGTATCTAATCCCAGGTCCAAAGTTCAGTCCCTTGTGCACAGGATTGAGATGAAGCTGCAGTCCCATGACAAGCATCCGAGCCAAGTGTCGAAGCAAGTTTTGCCTGAGAAGCACATTTTGTGCCCATCCACCCTGAGTGATTCCCATCGAAGTTTTTCAAAGCCGAGAACTTGTCCAAAAGAGACAGGTCAACATCCGAATGCACCAGTCGCGAGCCCAATTCATGACACTGCAGGTGCCGAAGCCGAAACATGGTTTGCATCACATGACACATGGGGGATTTTAGATACAGGGGCCACCAAGACAGTCATGGGTAGCCATCATGTTTCCAGCTTCCTCAAAAACTTGGATCCTGAGGTCAGACAACAAGTCCAAAGAACATCATGTGAAATCACGTTTCGTTTCGGTAATCAAGGTACCCTTAAAGCTGCACATGCAATTGTTGTTCCTCTGGCCGGCATGAAACTGAAGATTGCAGTGGTAGAAGGCGCTACGCCTTTCCTGGTATCGAATACCCTTCTCCGAGCGTTGGGTGCCATGATCGACACCAACCAAAATCAGCTCCTACTACCACGACATCAGACGAAGGTACCTTTGAAATTGTCAGCCAAGGGATTGTATCTCGTGGACACCAATGAGCTTTTCAAAGTAGCACCCATGCCAGGAGAGCCAATTGAAGCAGCCGAGACTTTTGCACAGGACGATCATGCGACCGTCAAAATACCTGAGGACCGTGAACAGCCGTCAGTTGGTGATGAAAAAGAAATCAGAATGAAGGCTTCAGGTGAAGGTCATGAGAATCAAAGCAACATGTCCAACGGAATACATGTGCAGTCAACAAAGAAGCTTGCAAAACAACACCAAAAACAAATGCCGTTGCAACACACCACAATTCACCAAGTCAGAGAATTTCGGCCATCAAGCAACTGCCAACGAAAGGTTCCGATCTGTGAGTCTCGGCACCATGGGAGACTGGCAGCAACGTCTGAGCCGTGTTCAGTCTCAGATGCCAGCAGCCGAGGAAGAGACTGTGGACCACCTGAACCTGGAGCAATTGAAGACCATGCCGATGTCATTCGGCAAGGCCCACGTGGGCAAGAGCTTCGAGACCATTTGGTCCGAACACCCGGACTGGATCAAGTGGTTTTTCAACCACTACAAGTCCAGTTCCAAGGTGGAGCACAAGAAGATGGTGAGATTCATCCAACTTCGCATCGAGGAGGAAGAAAATCAGACAACCCCAGTGTCGACGACACTCAAAGCCACAGCAAAGCCGAAGGGCATGTCCAAGTCACACATGGCCAAGGCCAAGTGTCAACCGACTCCAACCACACCGTGGCAGATGGCGGAGGTGTCAGACACCGAGGAGCTCATGATCGAGCCACCTTGGATCCCAACCGAGATGACGGAAGTTCAAGAGGAAGTTCAAGTGATCCACCATCGACTGCAGGGCCTGGAGAATGCCATGCAACAGGTGATCTCCCTGATCTCCCAGCAGACCAGGCCATCCAGCGCGACACCATCAGGTGCCTTTCCCGACACTGCAGTGATCGAGCAGCACGACCCATGGAATCAATAGAAGAACACAATGACCACAGTGACTGGTCTCTCCAAGCAGGCGAAATTGATCAATTTTGTGAAACAGTTCCCAATAAAGAAAAGGATCATTTTTGGAACTTGGTAAATCAGATTGAGAAAGAAATTGATGATCTTGCAAAAATTATCCAACCATCAACAAAACAAATTGATTTACTTGAGGTCTTTTGCAGTGACTGTAGTGCCATCACCGATCAAGTTCAAAACCTTGGCGGCACCTCCATCCGTTTTGGCCGCACCCAAGGCGATCTGGAAACTGCTGAGGGTAGGAGAGCGCTGTTTGTGCAATTGCTGAAGCATCGGCCGAAGAATGTCTGGATGAGTCCAACATGTGGTCCATGGAGTAAATGGTCTCAATTTAACTCACTCAGGTCCATTGCTGCGTTTGACTCCATCCAGCATCAGAGATTTTCCATGCTGAGCCAGGTTGCACTCTGTCTGGTTCTTTGCCGATATCAACATCGAAAGAACCAGCATGCTCACTGGGAACAACCAAAGGGTTCATACATGATGAGATTGCCCTACATTCAAGAAATCTATAGGTATTTGTTGCGTACGATGCCTGATCTATGCAATGCAGGAAATCTCAAAGACCCAGAAAACAAGTTACCCATGCAAAAAGGGTTACATATCATGACAAGTTCTCAAAGATTGCATGATGCCATCCATCATTTGAAGTGCACACGAGACCATGTCCATCAACAGATCGAAGGATCAACCAAAGTGCATGGCCAGACAGTCGCACGTTCCGAGCTGTCAGAAATATATCCTCGGAAGTTCGGTCGACTTGTTGCAAAGACTTTGCTGAAAATTCGTTTTCCACTTGAGAAACCTGCAGGTACCATAGCCGACCCTGTTTTAATCATGTTGGATGCCATTGCAGCCGAAGCCAATGCCGCAACAGTCAGAGAACGTCCGACCAAGAGATATAAGACCAATCCCCGCCGAGGGGTTAAAACACCCGCTGCAGCTGGCGCACCTGACAGCACCGGAGATGCCAAAAGACAGAAGTCAGAAGTGACAACATCCTCCAACACAGAATCGACCACCAATCCGATAGAACATGCATCCGAGCAAATCCAGAAAATTGCAGAAGAAATTGAAAAGGGTTTACCCAGGGTAGGCAAGAGGGTCATTAACAATTCAGCAATAATTCAAGATTTAGAAAAGGAATTCCCTAACATGACCATAAAGGCCATCTTGGCATGCAAAGGCACCAATCGCCGGATGGGGCCGCCCAATCAGGTACATGCTCAAGAAGCACCTTACCGTAGAAGCATTATGAAGATCCGGGACACAAATGAAATCATGATTGATGCAGCATGGGAAGAATATGCAAACCTCTCCAACCGAAAAATCATTCGAGCATCTCCTCCCTGCCGGGTAAATATAACGATGTTTGCAGCCAAGCCGAATGCCAGTTCCGACTGCCTGCCTGATGTTTCAGAAAACAGCCCCGAGCCAAGGACCAAAGTGCCAGAGACACCCGAAGTCTCCAGAACTTATGAGCCTGATGAAGTCTCAGAAACAAAGGAAAAACTACCAACTGCATCAGAACAATCCGAGAATTTTCCTAGACAAAGCTTTCAAACAAACGAGACACGTCAGGAGGTTCAAGCTGAAGACAGACCTTCAATCACTGACCAGGGTGATGAAGCTCATGGAGCCCGATTTAAAGCACTTCCAAGGGAAGAACAGGCAATGCTGAAACGGGCACACAAGAATTTGTGTCATCCGAGCGCTGAACAACTGAGTGCCACTCTTCGCAATCAGGGTTGTAGACCAGAGATCCATCAAGCTGTTTTTGACATGAAGTGCCCAACATGCGCTGCCAGTCAAAAGCCCAAGCTGTCCAGACCCAGTTCACTCAAGCCGGAGTTGGATTTCAATGACAAAGTGTTCATGGACGGTGTCAAGTGGACATCCAAACAGGGTCAAAGTTTTCATTTTTACCATTTGATTGACCAAGCCACAAATTTCCATGTAGCAATTCCGGCACCGAACAGGACCGCAGAACATGCAATTCAGAAGACAATGGAAGCTTGGCTTCAATGGGCCGGTCCACCAAACATGTTGGTGACAGATCCTGCAACGGAGTTCACAAGTGACTTGTATCAAGAGTTTTTGCAAAGGCACGACATCAAAGGCATAACAACATCCCCCAATGCTCACTGGCAGAACGGCCGGTGTGAGAGACATGGCGAGATATTGCAACAAATGCTGACTAAGATTGATCTTGAACAACCTATCACTACCTTCTGGGAATTCCACCAAGCACTAGTTCAAAGTACGAATGCCAAAAACACTCTCAGCATTCGTAGGGGTTACTCACCGGAAATTCTTGTGTTTGGCAAAAGTTCGAAGGTTCCAGGATCAATAGCCAGCAGTGACGATCTCTCGGCTCATGAGAGCGCCAACCGAGAGGACGCACAAGGGATCCAGTTCCGTCGTAGCTTAGCACTGAGGGAAAGGGCACGGATTGCCTTTCACCAGGCAGACAACGACCAAGCCTTGCGCAGAGCCTGTCTAAGGAGATCCCGACCAGATCGACAATCCTACAATGTTGGGGAATGGGTAATGATTTGGCAACCCCAAAAGACTGGATCAGGGTATTGGATAGGCCCCGCAAAGGTAATCCAAGTAGAAAACCAACTATCAGTATGGGCTACCATGGGAGGAAAGTTGCATCGACGGGCACTGGAACACGTCCGGCCCGTATGTTCGTCCGAAGCCAGACAAATTTTTGAAGTTGAAAATCAAGATCCAGAAAATCATCAACATCAATCACCAACTGAATTACCACTTGCCGAAATCCCCAATAATCCAGAGAATCCCAGTAACAATCAACACCAAAATATTCAGAATCCACCTGATAACATGGACAATGATGGTAACAGTCAATCTCAAGACCAACCCGACAATGAACCCGAAGGAGAGAATTCCGAAAGTAATCCACACGATGATTTCTTTAATCAGCCAATTGACACACCTCTTCCTGAAAGTTCCCTTGATGATGACCTTGTGACCACCCATATTCTCTGCGTAGAAGGTGAAATACTCACCGTGGATCCAGCCGAGACACCTTGTGCCTGGCGTTGCGAGTTTGAAGTGCCAAGCCACCTTGCCAAGGTTAATTGCCAAGGGCAACCGCCCGAGAGCCTGTTACTTGCCACGACTGAGAAGAAGCAGAGAACCGAAGTGAAGTTATCAACATTGACAGTGGAAGAACAAGCAGCATTCAAGAAAGCCAAAGAGAGCGAAATCCAAAATTGGCTTAGCACAGGAACAGTATCTAAGATACTAAGGGATAAATTGGCCCCAGAACAAATCATTCGATGTCGATGGATTCTAGTATGGAAGCCCCTGGAAGAAGCCATTTCCCCAGAAAATGCAAAAGGGATCAAATCCGAAAAACTGAAGACCCACAAACCGAAGGCCAGATTGGTAGTCCTTGGATACCTTGATCCAAATTTAACTGAAGTTCCTCGGGACAGCCCGACACTTGGCCGACAGTCAAAAATGCTGTTGCTCCAGTTGATTTCTTCGAAGGGATGGAGTTTGGGTTCGTTTGACATCAAAGCTGCTTTTCTACAAGGACGCACTCAAAAGGATCGAGTGATGGGAATGGAACCCGTTCCAGAACTTGCAAAGGCCCTCCAACTTGCACCGAATGAAGTGTGCAAACTAGATAAGTCAGCATATGGTCTCATCGATGCTCCTTTCCTATGGTTTAAGACCCTAAGTGAAGAACTTATGAATCTGGGCATGCAGCCAAGTCCCTTTGACCCATGCGTGTTTATCTTGAGACATCCCAAAACAAACGAAATTTCTGGTGTCCTGGGTATCCATGTTGACGATGGTATCTACGGGGGAGATGCATATTTCCATTCACAAATTTCCAAACTAGAGGAAAAATATCCTTTTGGATCCAAAAAATCAAAGGCCTTTACGTTTACAGGAATAGAACTATTCCAACACCCAGACAACAGTATTGAGCTTTCACAGACAAAGTATGTGAATCACATACCTGCCATCCAAATATCTCAGGAAAGAAAGCTTCAAGAAAATGAAAAGGTCACCGAAAAAGAGAGACATCACCTGCGAGGCCTCGTAGGTTCACTACAATATGCCGCTGTACATACCCGACCTGACATTGCCAGCGCACTCAGTCATCTCCAATCTCAAATAAATTCCGCGACAGTTGCAACACTTTTAACAGCCAACAAAGTTCTCCATAATGCCAAGAAACACAGTGACGTTCATATCAAAATACAACCAATCAAAACCGAAGATCTTCGATTCATTGCATTCTCAGATGCTTCTTTCGCATCCAAAAGCAAACCAGAGTCTCATGCCGGAATGATTATATTAGCTACGCACAGTGACATAGCCAAAAATCAGTCTTGCCCCATAAGTCCAATTTCCTGGGGAACCAAAAAGATTCAAAGAATTGTCACTAGTACGCTATCAGCAGAAACATCAGCTTTATCAACGACACTTGATCAACTGACATGGCTGAGAATATACTGGGCATGGATCTTAGACCCAAAAACTGAATGGCAACGACCTGAAGTATCCCAAAATTTACCACCAGCTTTTTCCATACCAACGTACAAAGCCCAAGAAAATGATTTCGCAATCACAGATTGTAAAAGCCTTTACGATCTAACTACCCGAACAGCCATTCCCAATTGCCAGGAATTCCGCACACAACTCCTTGCCAGATCCATAAAGGACATATTAACCGAAGGTATAAGATTACACTGGGTACATTCAGGGGCACAGTTGGCAGACTCATTAACAAAAGTAATGGAAGCCACGTTTCTCAGGGAAACCCTTCGAAAGGGGCGATACTGTCTCCACGATTCCGATGAAGTTTTGAAAGACCGTGCATCCGCACGAAATCGCTTGAAGTGGCTCCGATCCAGTACTGATCAAATGTCAACAAAGTCAGAAAACTTTTGAAGTTTTGGGAATGTGAAATGTCAACATTTGATCAGTCATAACCATGCTTGACAGGGAAAACGTTCCCCATGCAGCTCCAACCAAGGGATGCACGATCCCATTTCATACACAAGAGAACAATGCAAATCCTCCCAAAGGTATTTGGCTCAGGGAGCCTTCAAAGGCGTTGCGGAGGGTGGGATCGATACCTTGGAAGCCATAGTGTTCTTGGTTTTGTGGCTACACGCCGTGGTTGGCGAAACATCGCATAGGCAGTGCGATTTGGTGAAAACAGCTGCGCGGCCGCAGCCTTGCAGGTGCATCTGATTGGTGCTTGGGATCAGGGAGCCTCTGTTACCAATTCACAATATATATATATACACATGCGTACATATCGCGCAATGCACGGCAATGAATGGCAATAAGTGGCAAGACATTCCTGAAATACGACTTCCAACTCGGACTAGAAAAGGCCCAGAGAGCGAGAGTCTCGAGAGTCTCCAGAGGGAGAGAGAGAGAGAGAGAGAGATGGATGGAATAGAACCACCATTTTCAATCTTGGGGGCAGATCACTTTCCATTTTGATCTCCCTTTCCACGATTACTTCGAGAGCCACCGCAGCAAATTGCGATGATGCTTTTAGCGTCGCTCATTTCCTTGGTGACGCTGGGCAGAGGTCTGGTCCAGGGTTCAATTTCCATCAAGTTTGATCAGAACTTTGGATATTGTTAGTGTGATTTCTGATTTCATCTGATTTCTGGATACTGTATATTTCAGGAATTTTCAGGATCCATGTGATTTCATGTGATTTCATGTGATTTCGTGTGATTTTCCTGGAAAGTCATCCTGGATCATCCTGGATCCGATTGATCCAATCCAACATTTTCCCACATTTATGGCATAGAATTGGATGATGGGAACATTTTAACCGGAAAGCCCATCAAATTTGATGGTAAAAACCCATGGGTTTCCGGTTAAGATTTTTCCCCAACAAACCAATCCATTGAGTAAATCAGTGTCATTAAATCCCATTAAATCCCATTAAACCACCATTTTCCTATGGTTTTCCTATGGTTTTCTCATTGAATCGATCACCTAGCTAGAGATGTACGCTATGGCACAGGTCAAGTGATCCCAGCAGCACCTCGGCCCACCGACTCCGAACCATGTGGCTGCCCGGACAGCGGATCATGGGGAAAATGGTGATGAAATGGTGATGACATGGTGATGAATAGTGGATTTTCCCATTGAAATGGTGATTTTCCCATTGAAAATAGTGGATTTTCCCATTGACATGATGAAAATTTGGGAGGGTAGCCTCTGGTAAACTAACATAGCTATTGAAAATGGTGATTTATAGTGGATTTTCCCATTGAAAATGGTGGATCTTTCCATAGTTAGGTTAAATTACCAGAGGGTAGCCAATTTTCAGACAATACCCACATGGAAATCGGGTGTTGTCGTGCTGTCCTCAAAACTCTTCGGCTGCAGGACCCCATCTACGGCTCTGACATCTGCTACGAACCGGTTTGTCCCCCTGGCTATTTCAGGCCGGACATCTTGAGAAAAGCAGCACAACTGTAGAGCCTTAGGAAACCAAGCTCAAATTCCACTACACTGACCTACATCGACCTGCAAGCTTTGATACCTGCTTTGAAGTGGACTGGTGAAAGGTGCTGTGCAACTTGCTACGAAGCTCCCTGTTATGGTTTGAAGAAGGATCTCGAGGCTTGAGTGCTCACGTTTTTTTTTGCACATCAAAGGATGATCCACCAGGCTACCATTCGTTACCTTTCATCCGGCATTTGCACAGTTGTCTTGGCGCGGCATCTACGAGTGCATCCTATGTGAACCGGGAGACTTCTGCAATGGATGCGATACCTTTACGAGGCCAAATGGAAAGAACTTTCTTTCAATTTCTGTTAGTGGCTGTCGCTGTGCTTCTAGCCCAAGCATCGGAAAAGGTGTCCTGACAACACGCAACCGACTCGGGAAGGGCCCCGGGCCACTTTCTCAGTCTGTCTTCGAAGTCAGTCTTGTTCCTAAGAGTTTGCATGGTTTGCACAGTCACGCGGGGATTTTCATGTATTTTCACATTTTTCACAGTGGATTTACCCACCTGCCGTTGTGTCTCAGTATTGGCCTATGTGACACATCGCAGATTTGTCATAAGTCCTGATCATTTCACCCACCATTCTGACCGTTCTGTTTTCATTCATATGGGAGAAGATGTCTGTTTCCCTCACTTGGGTTACCTCCAAATCATTGTTTTCCCCATAAACATCATAAACGATCAATTCTGGATGATTTTGGGGAGCACCACCAAAAAGAACCCCCGTCTTCGTGCGTGTTGAAGTCATCCATAAATTCCGTGAAGCCGAGGTTTCGAATGCGGGTTCCACTCGTATTGCTGACTGTGAGAGCTGTGCAGCCGGAATGGAGGCCCTTAGCCCAAATTGGAAATTGGAACAGCTTGAAACACATTGAAACGAGTGCCAGTTGGCAGCTCGAGGGCTGTGATGATGGATAACGATTTGTTGAAGAGAAAAGTACGACGGAACTGGGAGGGCAAAGCAGCCCAATTTTCCAATTTTTCTTCCGGTAGCTTCTACTACCATTTAATGTGGGCATGTCCAAGTTATACCCCATATACCCAAAAACAACCATTTTATGAGGAAAATTTCAAACAAACCCATTGTTCTTTTGTAGAATATTTGTCACTGTGGATGATGAAAGCGAGCACGAACAGGCGAGCTTCAAGCGCGATCGCTGCGTGACAGCCTACACCCACGTCTGCAATGAGGAGTTCGTACAACGCTGCATCAGGAGCTGTAAGGCCTTCCGGCAATTTTCTCATTTCAAGCTGTGATTTTTCTCTACATGGGGGAAGTCATGACAGAGAGTCCTAGAGAAGGAAAACATAGCAGCAATGAACAGCAGTTCTTTGTGCATCTTTAGTACATTTCCGCACATTTCAGCACCATCCGAAAGCTGGAGGCTGAAGAGCCTTCTCGCGGGAAGAAGCTCACACCTTGTGAGCAGATCAAATGCGAGGTGGGTTCAGATTCAGGTTTTCCAATGTCTTATTGAGAAAACCAAATCGCCGAATACACACACCACTTTTCATGAAATCAAGAATATGTACCTGGCATCACCGGAAAGTTTTGGACGAAAAGCAGTGCATTCTGACTACATTTGATGTTTGTGCAGATGTACTGCGCGAAGTGGAAGCCTTAGTCCGTGCAGTCGTTAGATCTTTATCCCACACATTCCCACACACATTAGTTGCATTGGAGTCAGCTGTTCGCAAGGCAATGGTCAGATGAATGCGCTCAAGTTGTTGGAGACATCTGTAGGGACCTCACGACGGTCAAGGACGGGTGACTCGTTGAATGACTTGTTGAAAACCCGCTGGTGCCAACAGTTTTCTGTGACATTAAGTGAGTCCGCAGAACATTGGTTGGGTATGGATCAATACCTATTAATACAATTTTTAGGGGGATGAACATCCATTTACCAGCTATTTTGATGTGAACTACAGGGGTACTATTGGTTTTGACACACTGCCAGTTCTCAGTTTCACTTTTGCTGATTCTTCAGAAGACTTTGTCGAAAGGACTCTGGAGTCATTGGAATGGATGGAACGTCATCAGAGGCGGGACTGGTGACGGTGCAAGGTTGAAGAAATAGAACGCAATAATCTCAATAGACCAATCAAACCAAAGAAGATTGTCATTTGAGCAGCATCTAAGTAGCTCTGAGCAGCCCGAGATGGAATTGCTTTCAAGTGAGCGCTCCAGTGAATCTGTTCAGGTGGAGGTGTTGGTGTGTGATGTTGACTGCAATTCATCTCTGCAAAGCACATTGGCCAGCCTGGCGTGTTGAAGTTTTGCGCCTGGATTCTGTGGCAGTTTGATGCTCTTCGACTTGCTTGGACGGCAGGCAGTGATGATCACTCTGCTTTGCTTTACCAGATATTTTCTGGGAGTCTGATAGCACAGCCAAGTTCGCACAAGCACAACGCTCACTGTGCAAGATTTTTGCTGTGCTGCAGCGTGTTTCACAAGAGAGCAGAAGCGATCTGCCATTTCCAGCGCGTCCCAAGGACGTTCTGAGACGTTAACGAGCTTAGGACTTGGTTCCTCTGGGTTCAAGCTTGAAGAGAATGAACAGAGGGTGTTCAAGCAGTTTCACCAAGGGCAAAAAATCAGCGTGCATCCTTTCGCAAGGAGATTGCAGGTGAAGGGAACCACAAGAACGCAATCAGATGCGTTTTCAAGAAAACAATGATAAGTCTGCCAGTGTTCTTTCTACCCTTTCGCGTCTGTCACTTTCTTGGTATGTTGATTTGTGAATAGTTGGCTTCGCTTCATTGGCCGAGCTTACATAGAGCAGAGTGAAAGAAAGGTTCTTTGACAAGGCAGTGGCTAAACCATCAGGAAGAGCTCAGAGCTCCCTGCTGGATAAAACGGATGAAAGAGAGGGTTTCAGAAATCTCTTCAAAACTTCAAACACTTTTCAGCCAAAGTCTCACAAAGCAAACCATGGGGAATTCAGTCATCTGATATCTGCTTTCTTTGGGAGGTTAAAAACTGCTGGTTTTCCCACACTTTGCACGCCTTGCAGGGTGCATCGCCCCACCACCGTGTGTCGTTTGTTGGTCGTTGGTGGTTTCTGTATGCCTTTTGGCTTCGTATCTCCGCTTTGTTCTTTGGAGACCTGGGACGAGTCACTGGGGACCCAGCTGGGTGTTGAACTGCAAGAATTTTGGGCTCAGACTGTTGGATATTATGTAAATATGTTTTTTCATATGTTTTTTCACATGTTTTTTCATATGTTTTTTTCATATGTTTTTTCACATGTAATCTATGTAGTCTATGTAGTCTATGTTATATTCCTATTCGTTACAGCTACATTGGGTCTTGCGGCTAGGAGAGAGGTAGATGTATAAATTGTCCGTCACGTGGCAATATTGGTTGAAACATGTTGAAACATATCTGAAATAGTTCTCGGACCAGCGGTGATCATCTTTCAGCAGGAGACTAGGGTTTTGTGTGTGGATGCTCCCTTTTCTGCGCTTGCTGAGGCAGGTACTGTAATTGTTTTTACAGCAGACATTGTGGAAAGAACTTCAAATCCGACCTTTGGCTTGCAACTCTATCCCGAACATTCAATGGCTCTTGGACATTCTTGGACTCCATTGTTAAAAAGCCTTCTACCCTCTGGTAAACTAACATAGCTATGGAAAATCACCTTTTTTAACGGGAAAATCCACTATAAATGGTCATTTTCAATAGCTATTTTGACATAACCAGAGGGTACTTTGGACATTGCCACACTGGACTTGTGCGGAGTCAAGCCGATCAAGTCTGGCGGAGCGAAGTCGATCACTCAGCTCCCACGTCACTACCAAAGTTGGCGGCTGCTGAATTTGAACCATGTCACACACACACATATATATATTAATATAATATAATATAATATATATATAATATATATATATATACATCATGCAATCAATTTATCCCCACAGCATTCAATTCAGAGAAGGAAACTGCAGAGTGGTAAGCGCCCACTATCTCACATGAGTGGAAACACCTTGAAAACCCAGCAAGAGCAGAACGCAACTTGAAAAAATGAAACAATGCCCAATTTAGCTTTGTGCTCAATTTGTGCGGAGCTTATTAAACAAACCTACCCCTGACACAACTTCAATCCTTTTGCTCAGCACAAGAGGCTATATGCAGCTTCCAGTTGTGATGCTCTGAGGTGTTCTTTTATCACAGCTCACAGGCCCCGACATGTCAAAACATCCTGTTCAGATGTGAAAACACACTGTTTTTCTGTGTGTTGTCTAAGAGTCTAAGAACAAATGCCCCTTTTTCCCTTGTGCCCATGATAAAATGCTGGTTGGGAAGCTTGAACCGCACTTCGCGACCTTGCACAGATGGTCCGAATGATTTGCTGCGACAAACGCGTTGGAGGGCAGGAATACCTCGGAACTGAAGCAGCAAAGTCCTTGGCTGTGAGTGTGCCCCCAACATTTGACAGGGATTGTTGATCAGCGGAACTTTGGCTTTGAGTTTTCAAGTATGTAAGATACATTTTTGGCACTACAAATCAGACTGAGTGCAGTGTCGGCTAGAGGAGGAGAGTATTCAACACATGGCACCAGTTTCTTCCCACCCAATGCGCGCAACTTAGATGATCTAAGAATGATGCACAGCCTTATGCATATCTATCCGTGTTCATACAAAACCGTCCGGAAGAAGACATACCCAATACTCTTCTCACAACTCACAAATAGTTAATCAAAATATTACTATTGAGAATACGTCTGGAGGAAACTCATGCAGAGCTTTCCTGTTTGATAGCTTGATTTTTCAATGTCCACTTGGGGCACGTGCGGCCTTCTCGATGCCATTCGGGTTTGCTTTTGCCAAAACACCTCCGAACATGGCGGTGAAGCCGGAGTCAGAGGCAGCAGAGGCACCTTCGTCGCTCTGAATCCCTCTGAAATCCAAAGTCTCCAGCTTCCTCCGCAGACAACTGCTACTCTCTATGAAGGATGCTGCCCAGAAGCGTGGCTTGAAGGTCGTGTTCAAGATATCCTTGAGTCAAATCCTTGGGTGGCTGGGGTCTTGAAGACCAACCCAAAAGATGGGAAACTCGCTCTTTGGTTTCCTGACCAACCGAACTGGACGAAGCATTTTCAAGTCATAAAAGTGGAAGATGCTCCGAGCCTTCTCCGCACCTCTTTGGATTTCACTGTGAAAGTTGGATCAGAAGTAGCAAACACTGCGCAGCCCCTCTGCCAAATTACAGCTATTACAGAGCCGACGAGACAAAGATGGATCCTGCAGATGTCTATGTCTCATGCAGTTGCTGACAGCCACACCTTCTACGCAATCCACGGAATGTTGGACGCTCGTTCAGATGTGTGTCCAATGGAGTTTGAACGTGTCGAATTCAATCCACTTACGTGCTTGAAAGCGCCGCTGCATTGGAAATGGTTGTTTTTCAGCTGCTGCCGTCTCCTATGGTTGCTGAACCCTTGGCCCAAGAGGAATGAGAAACCTGTCATTGAGCTCAGGTATGTGAAGGAGGCGTGGCTACAACGGTGGAAGTCCCAGCACGATCCTGATCTTGACGCACCACATGTCTCTGCAAACGATTTGTTAGCTTCGTGGTTTTTTTCAGTCACTCAGCCGGCATGTGGATTTATTCCAATCAACATGCGGGACCGCATGCCTGGCCTCGGAGTTCAACATGCCGGTCTGTATACCACGATGCTGATTTTCTACCCGGAGGAGTACAAGAGAGCTGCCAACATCCGCCGTGCAGTGACACGCTTGTGCCCTGCATGCATGCCTGATGCTTCTCGGCAGGCGCCTGGCCCGGGCTCTTGCTGTGGAGCAGTGACTGCTTGGCATATGTTTTACCGTGATGTGAACCTTCCCGGATGTAAGCAGCTCTCGCACTTTCCAGTCACTTCGGTGTGGAAAGATTACCCCGCAATGAGGTGTCCTTTTGCGCTCATCTTCCGGCCAGAGGCTGACAGGTCGGCAATGTGCACAGTCACAGGTGCAAAGCTCCCGGAAGATCCAGAAGGGCCGTTGGGAGACTTGTTGGGACATGCAGGTTTGGAAGTTCTAGATTTGTGGTGATTCACTTTCAACTGCTTCTGCTGCCATAAAAAGTGCACTGAAGTCACCGCCCTGGTTTGCACTTTTGTTGGCACATTGTGAGGTCTTTGCATGATAATCGGGCTTGAGCATGGTGTCAATGGTCGTTGCGATGTCACTTCTGGCAATTGCAACGCACTTGCAAACACATAGAGCAACACATTGAGAAAGAATACATTTGAGGAGCCAGTGGTGTGGGCTCAGCCAGGCTCTGGTAGAGTTTTGCTGTTTTCGCGCCATGGACATAGCTGCCTGCGCTTGGCTGCTTTTGCTGGTATGTTTGGGAGGTTGCCTTTGCTTTATTCTTTGGGCAGCTCTTTGCAAAGCCTTTTACAGCATCAATGGCGAATTTGGCAATGAGCTTGCAGTGCGGCAGTTTGGCCAGCATGCCTTCCATGTTGTCCTTGGTGATTATTCCACCAAACTTGTCTACGAAGAGATTTTCCTCAAGAAGGTCTACTTCAATCATCAAATCTCTTTAGATCAGCATGGGCCGCTGGTCCTGGATGTTGGGGGAAACATTGGATTTTTCTCTGCCTTTGTGGCCGAGCACTACAAGGGCTCAAGGCGGGTTGCCTTCCCAGACCCCAGAATTTTGGAGTTGATGGCTTGATGAGAGTGTTCTTGTGGAAAACATTGATAGAAGGGAACTGCAGCTGATTGCTTTTACATGCTTTTATACATTAAGATTACTTAAGCGTCAAAGTTGTTGTGAACATATTGTGAAATGGTTCCAGGAAGATTGATGATATTTGATGATCTAGTTCCTGAGCCGCCTTTTACAACACATTGAATTTTAAGCTGCCGCGTGCTTGCAGGATACACGTTTTTGAGCCGCTGCCCTTGCTAGTGAAGGCAATTTCTCTCAACTTGGCTACTCATGGCTGCGTTGTATTCCATGCGCATGACGGCAAAACTCTTCTCAATGACGTTTCTTGGCTTGAGAACCTTTCCAAAATTCCTTTCATCCGTTTTTTCAATAGTCTGATTTCTTTGGCGTGGAACGTGCTTGCTTTATTGCCATACTGAGGCCCCTTTGGAGACCAGAGTTGTGGTCCACCAAACTGCGCTGGGGGATGAAGAGACTGAGCTTTCTTTGACATATCAGCCTCGAATGCTTGCCGGGAGCAGCTTAGTTCCAGAGGAGTTTCTACCAAAAGGAGTTGACAAACTTGATTTTGTGCGTGCGATGTATTTGGATAGCATCAAGCTTGGTGCCCTTCCAACCTTTCCAGCTCGCTTCATGTGCGAGCTGCTTGGCATTCCCTTGCTGCGGATTCCGGCATTCTTTGCATTTTTGCCTTGGATGATGTTCTATCAAATTCAGCAAAGAATGTCTGGATGTAAGCAAATGACTATGAAGACACCTGTGCGCAAGTTGTCAAATATGCTGAAGGAGCAAGGCCTCCACGGACAGACCATTGACTTATTGAAGGTGGACGTTGAAGGAGCCGAGTTGAAAGTTCTTCTGGGTATCGATGATGCGACCTGGTGCTGCATCAACCAAATGGTGGTTGAAGTACACGATGGAGAGGATGGCCGCGTCGACAAGATCATAGAGCTTTGCAAAACAAAAGGCTTCACGAAGGTCGTCAAAGCACAGGAGCGGGCTTGAGAAACGAGGATTTTTTTTTTTTCGAAGCAAGGGCTAAGCAAGGGGTAGAACAGCGGTCTGTCAAATTCCACTTTGAACAATTTCCACCGCATTAACAGTTCTTGGGTGTTGGGAGAGCCGGGACTTGCAATCTATTTCCCCCTGCCAGGAGGGCGACTTGGAGCTACCAAAGCTTTGCAAGATTTTCTTGGTGTTTGCAACGAAGTGATTTGAGACTCGCTTCGCACTGTACAGGTGGCACGTGACATGTATCATAGCGATTCAACTCAGAGACCCTGGTGGATTGGGAACAAAATGACCGACATGCGTGTTCGACTCTAAGCATAGAAGGGAGATGTGGGATTTCTTCCATAGCGAGGCTTTGCCGTCGGATCGTTTAGTCGGGTGTACTGCACGTGATAAATTTCAAGACGATTGCGACAGTGAGATGCATTGTGCCTGATGCTTTAGCCATGCATGGTCACGAAATTCAAGCAACAATCTGGTGATAGTTTGTCGTGAATTAGTTGATCTTTGAACAATGCCATCAGGACATCATCACATTCAAGTCTATTTTGTTGAGTTCTCTTTGACTTGTGCCATGATGGTGAGCATTTGAAACTGCAATCTGACACCTGACTATGTCCCATTGCGTTCGCTGCTTTGATGGCCCTCGAAAGACTCTGATCAAGACGAAAGAGCAGCCCGGTTTCCCCGGTCTATTCACTGATTTGAATGAACATGAAGTTCAAGCCTTGGGACTTGCAGCGCTCGGAACTGCAACTGTATACCAGGGCTCATGTCCAGAGTCCTGGCTTCGCTCGCGGGTTGCCAAGATTGTCTGTGCAAACCCATGGCTTGCCGGACATCTTTGTTCCAACCCAAGCACTGGAAAGATTGCACTATTTGTTTGTGAGGAGATCGACTATCAAGGTTTCTTAGACGTTAAAGCTGTTGCCAACCAGTTGCATGATGTCTTGGGAAGGCAGACAGCCAGTGCCTGGGTGAAATCTGGACCGGACTCGGCGAACAGACATGAACCAATCTGTAAGATCATGGCACTTACTGCCACTGGCCACTGGGGTTTGCTGATATCAATGTCACACGCAGTGGCTGATGGTCATACGTTTTACACCATCCACAACATGTTGGACAAGGATGCTGAAGTGTGGGCTATGGAGCGAAAAAGAGTGCGTTTCAATCCTTTGAGATGCTTGACAGATGCGCCTTTGCATGGGAAGTGGTTGTTTTGGATCCTGCAGCAACACATTGTGAACCCAATGAAGAACTGCATTTCAAAGCGCGCTGTTGGAAATAGGAGTGCCCTTGTGTTCCGGGTGCGCTACGTAAGAGATGAGTGGCTCCAAGAGGAAAAGAGAGCCTTCACTGCGTGTCCTGGTGCCCCCTTTGTGTCATCTCAGGACCTACTGGCATCATGGTTCTTCCAAGCTGCGAAGCCTGCCTGTGGTGCCATCGTCTACAACATGCGAGACCGCACGGAAGGCCTTGCAGCCAGACATGCAGGATCGTATACTACACTTTTGATGTTCTATCCTGAGGAATACAAGTCAGCAGCGAACATCCGCCGTGCCATTTCCTCCAAGTCGCCAGCATGCACACTGGAAGGGCTACGGCAGCGCCCTGGATGGGGTGGAAGATGTGGTTTGGTAACTTCTTTTCACAACCTGTGTCGGGCTGTGAGACTAGACGGCTGCAATCAATTGACGCACCTTCCATCTGGCGCAGACACTTCAGAGGCCGACATTCTCCCCCCAATTGCTGCCATATTCAGACCCCTTCCGAAGAAACTTGCGATGTGGACTATAACGGAGGAAGAGCTGCCTTCTGGGCCTTTGGGCGACACAGTTTTTGGTGCCAATGAAGCAAACTTGATCAGATGAGTATCTGGAATTGCCAGGATGAAACCTGGAGCATTTCCCTTAGGAAGACAGTTGCTGGGAAAGTCGCCTGAAAATGTGACATCCATTGCCATTCTGGCTTGGGGTGTCATTGGGTCAGTCGAATCTGCAGATCCTTGATCACTTCGTCATGTTCTGGCTTTGAAATTTTCGTGTGTAGATCTAGTGGAGCTTCATTATCCGTTCTGTAATGCATGGGTTGTACGGTTCTTGCTTGTCGGATTGTTTTCCAAGATTGGTTCGATACAAGTCCCCAGGTCCACAGGTGATCTCCTGTCTTTTTGTGTGATTCCCATCATGGTGTTAAATGCTCAGATGGCTAGATCATTTGTCTTGTCTACATCTGATATCCCAACAACTCACTTGGCTAGCTTCCCCATGAGGATGGTGCTGGTTGCATGTTTCCCCGGTTCAGTTCAGTGCAGCATGTGTATTGCGCCGCAATGTGTGTTTGTTGAAGTATTGCCCACACAATTTTGGCGAACTCTTGGGATGCGAAATGTGTGAATTTTGACCTTGCCTTTCCGCTGCCATGATATTGAAGATCAAGCCACCCGCAGCACTTCAAGTTCCGGGAAACATTTGCTGTCACGGTATGGTATGCCGCGACCGCACACCGCCCAGGAACAGAACATGAATTTTGTGACTTTGCAAAGCATTGGTAGTGCTGTTTTGGTCACATGTATTTTGAACAGGAAGTGCGATGTTGCAGCCGGGTGGAACAGCCGTGATGGAAAGTATACATATCTTTCAACTCAAACCAGCAATTCTCTGAAACTTGAAGACCTAGAATTTGATTCTGCAGAGAAACCCGATGCTATTCAAGACTGCTGCAGACTGCTGCAGCTTGCCCATGCCATGAATATATGGAATACATTGAAGTGATTTCCTTTGAGCCCGATTTGATTTGGAAACCTAGTGGAAAAGCGCCACGCACAAGCATGATGCAGGTTCCTGAGCGCCCGGCGTCCCCGTAAATCACAACCCCTAAATGGATTGCCTTTTGCTGTCGGCAACAGTCCAAGCGCCCAGCTGTTTCTCAAAGAAGGCTGTGACATGGCTTGCAGTGATGTGCCGATGTTGGAGGGAGCGTCCAGGACGCTTGTGAATCCCAAAACTCAAACCTGTCCGTTTGGAAGATGCGCGGCTGTGGCACAGGCAGCTCTGTACGTCCACTGCCAAAAGCAAGCGTTATCCTGCTTGAACTTGCAGCAGCCAGGGCTTGCACAGACACCGAGATTCATCATGGTATTGGCTTCCCAGAACCTTTGGCGAAGGTCAGATTCACCCCAGCGTGTTTCTTGTGGGTGTTGCTAGCAGCCAATTTATCAAAGCACTGTGGCCATCCAGCTACCATGCATACAAGACCGCGCGGCGCGAATGCACTGCCCAGTTTTCGCAGCGTTGCCGGCAACGTGCACGTTGAAGCATATGTTGCAAAAGAAGGCACGTTCCTCCAGGTCATGACAAGGTTGCTCTTGTTTCATACGCTTGCGAAGGATGGCAGTTGAGCAATGCCCAGCTTGGAGCAGGAGCTTCTTTTCATGCATTATTTTTTGATACTCCATCAGTAGACGCCTTGTGGCCATTCAGAACCAGACAGAAACTGAGCGGGAACCATTGTAGACTATGTGTGCTTGCAAACTAGATATCCAGGTCTACAATGCAGTCTCAGAGCACAGACAGTCTGATCAGTCTGCAACGCCCATTGCAAGCATTTGCTTCCCATTCTTGTTTTTGCAGCAAGACGGATGGGGCCAAGGAAAAGCTTCGTTTTTTATCACAGATTTGAATGCCTAAAGCCCGCGGCAAGGTTTCATCTTGGAAACTGGCTGCCACATTCTAACCCTCCTTGGAAGCTTCAAATGTTGAAAAATTCATTGGCTCAGACGGATGGTTTCTTCGTGGCTTCAAAGGATAGGCACAGACACAGCATATGAACTGAGTCCACCTGAGCCACCAGCCTGTCAATAGCCCATCCGTCGACCTGATGGCTGCGAGTGTTGCCTGAGGGCTTGAGGGCTTGAGGGCTTGGCCATGCAGCAAGAGAGCCCACGTGCTTCGAAGCACCGATCCTATCCTTTTCATCTCACCAAATGTTCCAACAACTTTGATCAGCGGGTGCTAGTCTTGTCGCCAAGCCCCTCTCAAGAACCATGTTTTTTCTAAGCAGCAAGTATCTTGATTGTTTTGTGACATAAGCATGATGCAGGTTAACAACAAGTCTGTGGTCCAGAGAAGAGCGGGTTGTTCGACCATGACACATGCAACGGTGAAGTTTAGGGTGATGCAGTGTCAACTCACAACGCGTAAATGGATTGCTTTTGGCTGTCGGCAATAATCCAAGCACCCAGCTGTTTCTCAAAAAAAACTGTGGCTTGCAGTGATGTGCCGATGTTGGAGGGAGCGTCCAGGACGCTTGTGAATCCCAAAACTCAACCCTGTCCGTTTGGAAGACGCGCGGCTGTGGCACAGGCAGCTCTGTACGTCCACTGCCAAAAGCAAGCGTTATCCTGCTTGAACCTGCAGCAGCCAGGGCTTGCACAGACACCGAGATTCATCATGGTATTGGCTTCCCAGAACCTTTGGCGAAGGTCAGATTCACCCCAGCGTGTTTCTTGTGGGTGTTGCTAGCAGCCAAGCGGCAGGAGGGGCGCGTTTCATTTATCAAAGCACTGTGGCCATCCAGCTACCATGCATACAAGACCGCGCGGCGCGAATGCACTGCCCAGTTTTCGCAGCGTTGCCGGCAACGTGCACGTTGAAGCATATGTTGCAAAAGAAGGCACGTTCCTCCAGGTCATGACAAGGTTGCTCTTGTTTCATACGCTTGCGAAGGATGGCAGTTGAGCAATGCCCAGCTTGGAGCAGGAGCTTCTTTTCATGCATTATTTTTTGATACTCCATCAGTAGACGCCTTGTGGCCATTCAGAACCAGACAGAAACTGAGCGGGAACCATTGTAGACTATGTGTGCTTGCAAACTAGATATCCAGGTCTACAATGCAGTCTCAGAGCACAGACAGTCTGATCAGTCTGCAACGCCCATTGCAAGCATTTGCTTCCCATTCTTGTTTTTGCAGCAAGACGGACGGGGCCAAGGAAAAGCTTCGTTTCTTATCACAGATTTGAATGCCTAAAGCCCGCGGCAAGGTTTCATCTTGGAAACTGGCTGCCACATTCTAACCCTCCTTGGAAGCTTCAAATGTTGAAAAATTCATTGGCTCAGACGGATGGTTTCTTCGTGGCTTCAAAGGATAGGCACAGACACAGCATATGAACTGAGTCCACCTGAGCCACCAGCCTGTCAATAGCCCATCCGTCGACCTGATGGCTGCGAGTGTTGCCTGAGGGCTTGAGGGCTTGAGGGCTTGGCCATGCAGCAAGAGAGCCCACGTGCTTCGAAGCACCGATCCTATCCTTTTCATCTCACCAAATGTTCCAACAACTTTGATCAGCGGGTGCTAGTCTTGTCGCCAAGTCCCTCCCAAGAACCACGTTTTTTTCTAAGCAGCAAGTATCTTGATTGTTTTGTGACATAAGCATGATGCAGGTTAACAACAAGTCTGTGGTCCAGAGAAGAGCGGGTTGTTCGACCATGACACATGCAACGGTGAAGTTTAGGGTGATGCAGTGTCAACTCACAACGCGTAAATGGATTGCTTTTGGCTGTCGGCAACAATCCAAGCACCCAGCTGTTTCCCAAAGAAGGCTGTGACATGGCTTGCAGTGATGTGCCGATGTTGGAGGGAGCGTCCAGGACACTAGTGAATCCCAAAACTCAACCCTGCCTGGCTGTTTACAAGTCCGGCAAGAAGCAACAGTTAAGTTGTCCTCTTTGACCTCTGTGCTCAACACAACCAGAAGTTTGTCCACAAGTTCAAGATGAAGAGAGCACGTGTTCTCGCAGAGCATTGTTTGACCAGCTCACAGAAGCCATCACTTGCGCAGAAGCTGAAGTAATTTTAGTTTGCCGTCTTTATCGCATGTATAAAAAAGCAAAGTTCGATGCTTCTTCTTGCGTTTGTGTCGCAGCCACCAAGCACTTCGCATGCTACGCTGTCCAACAGTCGTTTGGATGAGCAGTTTCATTTTTGCAAGGTGGCTTCGTGTAAGGATGCCGTACATGTCAGGCAGACGTTGCCGCCACGTTTTGAACGAAGCAAGAGTTGCAAGAGCAGGCCGGGTCATCCAAGCGTTTTTCCTTTGAACGGAACAGATTTTGGATTGGGACCATTTTAAGAGCCAGACTTGGCGCGCAGCAAGAGTTGAAGAAACCAAGGATGAGGTAAATGTACTACGTCTCAAATTTGTTCGTATGCCAGTGAAGGGTTGCAGCAATGCGCAGGTTCTGCCTAACATGCAGTCTCAGGCGTTTTTCTTGGATACGCCCTCAATAAATGCTTCGTGTTCTGTGAGAGTTGACCCGTTCTGAGACCGCTAGCTTTTGATTGGAAGACATGTCTGACTGCCCCGCATGCTTGGGTCAAAAACCCGGAGCGCTCCGAAACATTCCCGTTTGGCTGAAAGCTTCTTGTCTCAGATTTCAAGGTTCAACACTGGCTGGCCAATCTTCTATATGTTCGGAAGCTCTGGCTTTGCCTTCTGAAGTTGCCTTGTGCAAAGGGTTTGCAAAGCCACTCGCGTTCTGACATAGTTCCGCTTGCCAGGGAGCCCAGAGCCATAATGAAAAAGTACCGGTTGCTTGGGCACATTGCCTTCCCACCATGCGCCTGTAGTTGGTTGGCCAAAGCACGCCCCGCTCTCACAAGTCGCGTGGCGACGTGCATGCAGACAGCCCGATGGAGTGCCCTTGTTTGGAATATTTCTGCCCAGATGCCTCTACTTGCAGTTTTTTTCAAAGCATTCCCCCAAGGCAATGAAAAGGTAGTGATGCCCATGGCAATGAAAAGGTTGTGATGCCCAGGCCCAAACACTTTCTGCACATCTCCTTGCGGGCATGCGTTGATCTAGCGACCTTGCCTGGTTGCGCAATTGCAGTGCCATGGCCCCAGTTTGTTGCCGTAATTTTGGAGCGCTGCCAAGTGCCAGCTCCC